TTAAATGCGTGAGAAAACAATTTTTTTCTCATTTATGTAGGGTAACCAAAGAATGACAGAACAGTTATAGGTATATCAGTTAAGAGCAGCATAAGGAAATTATTATTCAGGCTATGTATATATATTATATTGCAATGTTTCTATTTATATATTATTTCCTAGAAATTATTATAAACCAACCGCAAAATGCTGAATAAATTGACTTAAATTTCTTATATGATTGCTAACCACAATTAAGGTTAGTGAATTTATTTATACTATAAAGTTTATAGTATTCAATGGTCAGTAAATATAAATATATAGAAGTCATGCCCTAAACTTTTTGTATATTTATAAAGCAACAAAAGAATAAATAAATAAATATGCTTCATTCTATTATGGGATTCTTAATAAACGAATCAACGCTAGTCAAAGAATTTGCTGTAGAGAGATTTCTAGATTTATATAAAGAAATGGTCGATCATAAAAGATTCTCATTAGTATAGGGTGCGTAATACAGATCTATAATACCATAATCTATGATATTATATTCGAGAAAATCAGAATAAAATCATTATACCCACAATTTGCATATTCAGTGGGTTCCATGGGCATGGTTGAGGGTGGTGGGACTATATGATGGTGGATAATATATGGTATCATCTATTTATCTTCCACTTACCGTATTACGCCTGAAGTCGTACATGGAACTGACTCCCATATTGAGGTCCATTGGTTTGTTAATATTCTGGCAATCGCTGAATATATCGGGTGTTGTTCCGATTCGGATGATGGGCAGGACGGGATTGTAGTTATTGTTGTTGGTGTTGTTGTTGTTRTTGGTGTTTTGGCTACTGGTGCTCAGGTTGCTGTTGCTGTTGCTCTTGTGTTTGTTAACGGTTTGCTGTTGTTGTTGCTGATGGTTGCTCTTGCTGTTCGCGGTAAACACCTGCGAAATGCTGCGAAGAAAGGCGCGATAATCTCTCCTGTGCTCGATATCACCAGCCATGACTAGTCCCAGTGTCTTTGGTCCTGCACTCATAGCAGAACTTTGATACGTTTTATTATTTTTGCTGCTGCTTCTGCTGCTGCTGCTGCTATTGTGTTGTTTGTTGTTATTGTTGTCATTACTTCATGAAGCTAACACACATATATACATACATATATATAGACACACACACACACACACAGAGAGAGATAGATATACGCGTGAGATTCTCGTTTGCCCGTGATCAGCAGCTGCCAACTGAATATCTTGGCCTTTGTTTTCGGCCGTCAAGCTGCCAACACCAAAGCACAACAGAAACAACAAAAACAACAACAACGTGAGCGACACCTTCAAGACTGCGACTACGACTACGACTGCGGCGACGGCGACTAGACTACGGCGACTGCACCAACGACGACGACGACGACGGCGACGACGGCGAATATAGCTCACAATTCTTATCGGCAAACGGCTGATAAGCTGTACGCAGCTTTAACGGTAGTTTCTGTGGCACTTACAGCAAAATCAATAAAAGAAAAATTAAAAACCATAAAAACAAAAACAAAAAAATAGTAGCTGAAAGATGTAGAAGAAGAAGAGCGCAAGTGCACGCCACCGTAGGCCCAAAGGTGGACGGAATCTGATTCGGACTGCGCGGACTTGTTCCAGACGACCAACTAAAGAGCACAGAACTAGCGACCGCATGGGCGCCAGCCGCAGTCGACGTTGGCAGCGACGGCAGCAGCGGGCACGTCACCGTTGTTGTAATCGTCGTTGTTGTTTGTTTGTTTTTTATTTATTTATTTTTATTTTTGTTGAATTCTTTTTTGTGTTGAATTTTATTTTTTTGTTTTGTTTAGTGTGTGCTTYATACCATTATTGTTGTTGTTGTGGAAGTACTTCTAGGTGACACAGTGGTGCGATATCAATTTGTTTGTCAAGCTGCATCAGCTTTTTAGCTATGACTCAGACTACGCTTATATGAATATATGGATCAGTTTATTAAGTCATATTAGATTAGATTAAGCTGAGTGGATTTTCAACAGCAATTTTGATTTGCTAGATAGGTAAATCGATAAGTCTATAGCACAACGATCAAGGGCGAATCAGCTTTTTAGCTATGACTCAGACTACGCTTATATGAATATATGGATCAGTTTATTAAGTCATATTAGATTAGATTAAGCTGAGTGGATTTTCAACAGCAATTTTGATTTGCTAGATAGGTAAATCGATAAGTCTATAGCACAACGATCAAGGGCGAATCAGCTAATAAATATAACATA